AAGACCCAGAAGAACCTCTTGAGATCATTTCTCGGGAAACTGGCTCCATAGGGGCTAAAGACTTGTCCAGCACTAAACATTTCTCCCTTTCCGGGCTGGGCACTGAGAATCTCCTGAGTCTCTCTCTCCACCTGGTGGCTGTCAAGCCTGGTATCTGAACTCTCCTTTTCCTTACTTTCCCTTGTTATTCATTTCACACCTATTTGGCATAGATTTCTTTACTAGTGGCTGGAAGTGAATTATATGAAAGAGAGTTATATCCCTCAGACAGTGAGTGGCCTGGTGAGTAGGGACAGGTCTGAGGTCAAAATGGGCTGACCGTGTATTCCCTCTACAGGTGTGTGACTCTGACACGGTACTGGATCCAGCCTGCACCATCGAGATGCTTCGAGTCCTAGAGGAGGACCCCCAAGTAGGGGGAGTCGGGGGAGATGTCCAAGTAAGAACTAACTAAAGATTCCTGGGGGTGGGGGTCTGGACTTTGTTTCCTAATCCAATTGGATGTGCATGGAAAATGGGCATCTTGACTTCCTAATATTTTTGTCGGGAGGGTGGTCCTCTTTGACAGTTTCATTGGTATCAAAGGGCTCGCTTGCTACCCAACCCCTTTCTTGCTCTTTTTCAACCTGAGGGGGAAATATTACTTAGCAGGTATGTAGAGAGCCTATGCTGCTGGGAGGAGCACAGTATTTGGAGGCCATTATCTTGGAGGATGCTTCCTTTTTGGCTGATAGTGCAGCAAGCAACTTCAAAGTTAGACCCTTGAGAAGCCCTTGCTCTTAGGTAAGTTGCACTCAAGAGCCCTGGGCAGTGCAGTCAGAATAAGGGGCCATATCTTCTTCCAGAAGGTACTGCTGGCAACATACCAGGTCTCCCAAGCAGCTTTCCAACTGAAGGGTCAGGACAGATGGCTGGGGTATTGCTTTGCATCTTTCTCAAGGCCTTCTCTCTGCCACTGCTACAGGCTGCCTCCTGAGACTGAAGGTGGCTTTGACTGCTAGACTGACTTTACAGGGACAATCAATACAGATGACACAGTGGAGAGTTGAGGAAGGTGACTGGGTGTGGTTGGCTCCTTTGAGCCTCAGGTTTCCCAGCTCTGGCTGGGCAAGGAATGATGGTTAGGAATTTGAGCAATGGGCTACAGAACTCAGGGTAGGGAGGCCTTATGGTCTCTGGTGTCTATCTCCTGGGGCTCATGGCTTCAGGCGAGGAGGCCCAGCATCTATGGTTCCCTTGCAGATACTCAACAAGTATGATTCATGGATCTCCTTCCTGAGCAGTGTGCGGTACTGGATGGCCTTCAACGTGGAGAGGGCCTGCCAGTCCTACTTTGGCTGTGTGCAGTGTATCAGTGGGCCCTTGGGCATGTACCGCAACAGCCTCCTCCAGCAATTCCTGGAAGATTGGTACCATCAGAAGTTCCTAGGCAGCAAGTGCAGCTTTGGGGATGACCGGCACCTCACCAACCGAGTCCTGAGCCTTGGCTACAGGACTAAGTATACAGCGCGCTCCAAGTGCCTCACAGAGACCCCCACCAAGTACCTCCGGTGGCTCAACCAGCAGACCCGCTGGAGCAAGTCTTACTTCCGGGAGTGGCTCTACAACTCTTTGTGGTTCCATAAGCACCACCTCTGGATGACCTATGAATCAGTGGTCACAGGTTTCTTCCCCTTCTTCCTCATTGCCACAGTCATACAACTTTTCTACCGTGGCCGCATCTGGAACATTCTCCTCTTC